CCTTGAGGCATGGACTTCCAGGAATCCCTTCAATTAGTCTACTACAATCTTTTCCAACCAGTCCTAGGGCTCCAACTACAACAGGGATTGTTGATGTTCCCATATGCCACATTTTCGTGTTATTATTATTATTATTATTATTATTATTATTATTATTATTATTTGATTTTACACATTCCTCCCGAGCTTCAACCAGAGACCTTTCAGAAATGGTTTTTTTTTTTCTACTGATCATTTTGTAAAAAGATCACATGCATTTTACATAGATAAAGCTTTTTGTAATAAAACTCTTATTATTATTATTTTTATTTTCTTTGATTTCTGGCGTTTACACATTTTTTCCGGGTCCCGCCCAGGGACCTAAGGTTAGAAATGGCATCATGACACTTTCCATTGACAAAAAAAAAAAATATTACATAGATAAAGCCCTTCATAAAGTTTGGGCTGTACTTGTCAGAACAATTTTTTTTGTATCTCCTTGAGGCATGGACTTCCAGGAATCCCTTCAATTAGTCTACTACAATCTTTTTCCAACCAGTCCTAGGGCTCCAACTACAACAGTGATTGTTGATGTTCCCATATGCCACATTTTCGAGTTATTATTATTATTATTATTATTATTATTTTCTTTTTGATTTCTGACGTTTTGTTTTTTTTTTTCATCCCGCCCAGGGACCTAAGGTTAGAAATGGCATCATGACACTTTTCCACTGACAAAAAAAAAATTACATAGATTAAGCCCTTCATAAAGTTTGGGCTGTACTTGTCAGAACAATTTTTTATATCCTTGAGGCTGGACTTCCAGGAATCCCTTCAATTAGTCTACATGGAACCAGTCCTAATACCAACAGTGATTGTTGATGTTCCCATATGCCATAATTTTCGAGTCTACTTATTATTATTATTTTTATTTCTGACTTTTAATATTAGAAATGGCATTTGATACTTTTCCACTTTACATAGATAAAGCCCTTCATAGGGTCAGAAAATTTTTGTATCTCCTTGAGGCATGGACTTCAGGAATCCCTTCAATTAGTCTACTGTTTTTCCAAAGTCCTAGGGCTCCAACTACAACAGGGATTGTTGATGTTCCCATATGCCACATTTTCGTGTTATTTTATTATTATTATTATTATTATTATTATTATTATTATTATTTTATTCTTCTTGATTATTTTTCCAAATTTCTTTTACAGAAATGGCTTCATTATTTTCTACTGATCATTTTTGTAAAAAGATCACATGCATTTTTTAGATTTTTTTGTAATAAAACTTTTATTATTATTTTTATTTTCTTTGATTTCTTGTTTAAACATTTTTCATTTTGACACTGACAAAAAAAAAAAAATATACATAGATAAAGCCCTTCATAAAGTTTGGGCTGTACTTATCAGAACAAGTTTTTTTATCTCCTTGAGGCATGGACTTCAAAATCTTCAATTAGTCTATTTTTTCAACCAGTCCTATTGATGTTATGCCATTTTTCGAATTTTTTATTATTATTATTATTTTCTTTGATTTCTGACGTTTACCAGGGTCCTAACCTAAGGTTGAAAATGGCATCATGACAACTGACAAAAAAAAAAATTACATAGATTAAGTTCCCATAAAGTTTGGGCCAACAATTTTTTTTATTTTATGGACTATTATTAGTTATTATTTTCCATTATTATTTGTTGATTTAATATGCCACATTTTCGTTGTTATTTTATTATTATTATTATTATTATTATTATTATTTCCTTTGATTTCTCTTGTATACACATTTCCTCCCGAGCTCCAACCAGAGACCTTGGGTCAGAAATGGCTTCATGACATTTTCCACTGATCATTTTTGTAAAAAAATCCCTAAGATCACACACATTTAACATAGATAAAGCTCTTAGTAATGCGTAAGCTATTCTTGTGAGAGCGATGCTTTGTATTTCTTTAAGGCATGGGTTACCAGAAATGCCTTGAATGAGTTTACTGGAACCATTTCAAATCAATCTAAGGGCTCCAACTACAACTGGAATTATTAATGTCTTCATGTTTCACATTTTTTAGATATCCACTTCAATATCCTTGTATGTTGATAGTTTTTGAAGATCTTAAAAAATACATTACAATATGCAGGGACTTCCGTGTCAAGAAGAAAGCACATTCTGTTTTTGTGGTCTTTGGTTTCGATGTCTGGACGATTAGCTTTGATTGCTCCGTCTGTGTTTATTTTAAAGGCCTATAAAATTGTTGCAGGTCCTATCTCTCTGTAACCGGATCCGGGCGATTTTCCTATTATTATTATTATTATTATTATTATTATTATTATTATTATTTTTTTGATTTCTGATGTGTACTCATTTCTTTCCGAGTCCCAAAAAAGGACCTATGGTTAGAAAATGTCATCATGATCCAAACCACTGGAAAAAAAAATATATATATAAAGCCCTTCGTAAAATGCGGGCTGTACTTGTGAGAACATTTTTTGTATTTCTTTAAGGCATGGGCTTCCAGGAATCCTTTCAATTAGTCTACTTGAATTTTTTTCCAATAATTCCTGTTACGGTTTTTTGGGTATATACGCCTATGACTAGTGAGCGAGTCAGAATGACTTATTTCCTTTATAGTCGACCAATGGAAGGTTGACCAATCAGAAATATAAATTACACTGTATTCGTCGTGTATAAAGGCGGCCATCTTTTTTCGTCTACCGGAAGGACCAAAGGCGACCAGGATAAGGATGAACTACACTCTGCTGTGATATCCACTGCGAACCTAAAAATACGCTTTCCTACTGTCTCCGAAATATTCACTGCTAACCTCTAGATTCAATACTCATACTTAAACGACCGTCATGGAAATGTCTAACAATTCAGAGGGCTCCAACTACAACTACAATTTTGCTGCAATCCAAGAATGCCTTTCTTTTTGTCTTCAGACGATTCTTTCCACCCCCCACCTCAGTCCCCTCCCTGCCTTTTACCTTGACTCGTTCAAAGATATTCACTATTTTTTTTATTTTTCTGCTTCATGTTTTTTATGTTTTTTTAATGTTATTGTTGTTATATATATATATATATATATATATATATATATATATATATATATATATATTATTCTGTACATTATCTATCTGCCTGTTCATTATCTCTCTATCTATCTATCTATCTGTTCTTTATCTATCAATATATAAGGCCGGAGCGTACAACGGCCGAAACGTTGTGAATATGGCAATGAAGATGGGGATAACAGACCGAATAATGTAAATAATGCAAGTAATCATAATACCTCATCTCAGAGATATAGACAGATATATAGAGAGACATAGACATAAAGGCCGGAGCGTACAACGGCCGAAAAATGTGAAATATGGAAGATGAAGATAATAACAGTCGAATAATGTAAATAATGCAAGTAATCATAATACCTCATCTCAGAGATATAGACAGATATATAGAGAGACATAGACATAAAGGCCGGAGATTACAACGCCCGAAACGTTGTGAATATGGCAATGAAGATGAGGATAACAGTCTGAATAATGTAAATAATGCAAGTAATTATTATTATTGTTATTATTTTCATGTGGTGCATCAAACAGCGTGTCTTCCCTTACTCATTCGCAGCTTCCTCAGTACTTTATATTATAATATTTCATGTGTTTGGATGTTCAGATTAACTGTCAGATGGTAATCTCAGGTGACTCCTCAATTTTCTTGGCCCCTTTTCAGTATCCACAGATATATCCACGATCGCCGGCGTCTGGAGACTTTGTTCTCAGTCATTCCCGCATATCCGAATTCACCCGTTCGCTATACGTTTCGGATTCATCCAGTAGAAAACAATTATTATTATTATTATTATTATTATTATTATTATTATTATTAACATCATCACTTGTTATTATCTCCCACCATTTTTCCGATAACATCAATTTAATTGTTGGTGTATTTTTTATGTTCTTGTTGTTGTTGCAGTCTTTGTGTTTTGCTTTTGTTAATGTTATTGTTGCTACTATAAGTGCGCCTTGCAGCAACGTGTCATTGAGTGCAGTCTGACACTCTGCGCGCGGGTCACTGAGTGCGTTCCAATAACATCCAGATCACGTGATGAACAGTTTGGGTGGGGCAGGTTGAAAAATAGGGTCTGGAATTGGTTTTTGATGCCAGAATCCAAGAATGCCTTTCTTTTTGTCTTCAGACGATTCTTTCCAAAATTAAATTTCAGTCCCCTATGCCTTTTTTTAATGACTCGTTCAAAGATATTCACCAATTTTTGATTTTTTTGATTCATGTTTTCTTTTTTTTATCTTTTCTATACGAGGATTTTTATAATTTTTTTTTTTTCAAATATATTATTGCAATTTTTCTTCTTCATTCATTCATTGTTTTCTTTGATACCTTTTCTTGAGTGCAATCATTGAATTTATTTTACGATTACTTTTACGTCTCTCTCTCTCTCTTCATTATCTGTCTATCTATCTATGCCTGTCCCCATCTGATGGTATCTATCTATATATATATATATATATATATATATATATATTATATTTAATGTTTGTTTTGTGTATCTTTTTCAAAAAATTCATTAAATATCTATCTATTTTTTATATGTATATATCTTAAAAATTTCATTATATATCTATCCATCTATCTATTCATTATGTACCTATCAATATATATATATTTGTGTGTGTTTTTGTGTGTGTGTATCTTTCACACTCTGTTCATTATCTATCTTTTCATTATCTATCTATCTATCTATATATATATATATATATATATATATATATATATATATATATATATATATATATATGTGTGTGTATATATATATATATGTGTGTATCTTTGATCATTATCTTTTTTTATTATCTATTTATCTATCTATTCTATGCCTGTTCCTATTTATCTGATGGTTTCTATCTATAAATGTATATATATATATATATATATATATATATATATATATATATATATATATATATATATAATAATGTATATATATATGCATGTTATTAGCTCTCTGCTGGTTTTACTCTATATATATATCTCTATCTCTTTCTTTCAATCAATCAATCAATCTATCTATCTATCTATCTATGCACGTTCATGTCTCTCTGCTGGTTTCTCTCTCTATCTCTCTGTCTCTTTCTCTCTCAATCTATCTATCTATCCATCTATCTATCTGTCTATTTATCTATATATCTATCTATGCCTGTTTCGATCTATCTGTTGGTTCTCTTTCTCTCTCTTTACCTATATCCCCATGAATTTTACTCTCGCTTTATGTCTCTATCTCTTTGTCTCTTTCCTTTCCGTATTTCTTTTATATTTTTCTTCCTCTCTCTTTCTCTCTTTTTCCTTCCCGTCTCTCTCACTTTCTCTTTCCTTTCTTTTTTATATGCATCTCTCTCCCTTTCTCTTTCTCTTTCTTAAAGTCCCTGTCTTTCGTCTTTCTGTATTTTTATTTGTTTATTTATGTCTGTCTCTTCATATCTCTTTCTTCGTTTATATCTCTTCTTTATTCATTCTTTCTCTTTCTCTCGTTCTTTCTCTCTCTCTCCCTCTCTCTCTCTCTCTCTCTCTCTCTCTCTCTCTCTTGAAATCTGTCCTTTCTTTATCTCTATTTTTTCTGTATTCTCTACATATTATTTATTCTATTTTTTTGTCATTTTTAAATTTTTCTGTCTCCTTTTGCCTTCCCTCTCTTCCCTCTCTATTTCCTCCTCTCTCCCCCCCTCTCTCTCTCTCTCCGGAGAGCAGATTTATATTTTGATAAAATTCAATAACGACATTCTCAAAAATGTTTCATCATAATATGTTGTTTTTTTGATAAAACGTTATATACTTTCGACATTACATATACACACACAAACACACACACATACACAACACACATATATATATATATATATATATATATATATATATATATATATATATATATATATATATATATATATATTTATATATAATTTTATATTAATGCATCTTTCATTAAATAATATAGACAAGTTGTGTGTATTTATTTTAAGTTCCTTTCATATTGTCTGAGAAGCTTAATCACATTATCGTTGAAAAACGAAAGGAAATCACCATATTGATACATGTTTAAATCCAATCTAAGCTTTCGGCTTGCACAATCCATTATCAAAGAGGACAATTTCAATAAATCAAACACACGGACGAAAAAACAATGATAGTCCGCCCTTGCTGCATGAAAATTTCCAAGTAATGACAAACTCGTATATACGAGACGCGGAAGCGAAAATCGCATCGCAGCTTGTGACATCACACATGACCACGCGTGAGTGAAAAACAAGAAGTACTAAGTATGGGAAGCCATTAGTATAAACCAATGACTTCTGTTATAAATTATAGGCATTTAAGGATATTTGTGGAGATTTCATTGTTTATTTTGTTCAGGTTAGGTTTCAACTGTTTTATGTATAAAGCTTCAAGAATTTTTTATTTTCGTTTATTTTTTCTGTTTAAGTATAGTTGTGTTGTCAACAAGATTCATATTATTTAATGAAACATGTATTAATATATATATACAATATATATATATATATGTGTGTGTGTGTATATATATATAATTTATATATATATATATATATATATATGTGTAGTGTGTGTTGTGTGTGTAATAATCAGATGTATACAGGCTGTTTTCATTTTTTCAATGCATTCGACAGGGACGCTGAGGATATATATATATCCGAATAATGTAAATAATGCAAGTAATTAGGCGGCCTGACGATTGCGTCTAGCATGAAACAGCCTGTCGCCTCTGAGTGTTGACTCCTTCAATGTTCACTTTATATTTATATTTACATACGCTCTATTTCTGATATTGAGCACTTTATCTCATAAATACAGAACACCTTAAAATATATATTTTTTATATATATATATATATATATATATATATATATTAAATGATTTAAAATATGTTTTTTCATAACACAGTAATTACCAGGTTTCAAAAACTGAAGCTAAAAACTTTAAACATAATTATATAAATTAAATTAAAAGCATTACTTCCGTTTCATCTTCAAGCGAATTTTAATTTTAATTATTTAATCATAGAACTAAATTTGAAGTTTTTAGCTTCAGATTTTGAAACCTGGTTATTAATGAGTTTGTCTATATTTCTGAGATGAGGTATTATGTACCTCATTTACATTATTCGGACTATTGTCCTCATCTTTGTTGTCATATTTATTACAACGTTTCGGCCCTTCAGTATCTGTCTATATTTCTGAGATGATGTATTATGTACACTATTTACATTATTCCGACTATTGTCATCATCTTTGTCGCCATATTTATCACAACGTTTCGGCCGTTGTACGCTCCGGCCTTCTTCAGGTGGTTGGAATTTCGAACTGAAACCTTTATTTCGCTCACTGGGGTAGACTGTTCTAGTTCCACGTGCCATGTTTGATGGATGCCAGTTATCAGTTATCTCCTGCTAATTTCCCTCTGAAAGTTCTCCACTGCCTTAACCGGGTATTGAACTCACACTCTTTGGTTCCTGTCACTGGATCTAAATAACGCCTTTATCCACTGTGCCATGTGTCCTTGAGGACATTCTGGTTATTAATGTGTAGCGAAAAAACCATATTTTAAATCAGTTAATTTATAATATTTATGCTCTGTAAATTTACATTGAGCACATTTTGTGAAAATAAAAATATCAATAGGAACACCGGATTATATATCTTACTGTTTTTCTTTACATACATATATATATATATATATATATATATATATATATATATATATATATATTAGTATATGAATATCAAAAAAAATAAAATACCAGACTTGCAAAACTAATATAAACGGAAAAATTACTCCAGGTGAAATTCATGATTTACAGAAACTGTATTAATGGAGAGAGAGAAAAAAAAAAGTGAAAGAAAGATTCAAAATTATGAACGCGTAATGGCGGCGTGGGGAGGCGAATAAAGAAGATCCGGGGATTTATTCTCAGCAGACATTAAGGTTTGAGTTGACCTATTTAATATGACCTAACGCTACAATGTTGCATTTTGATTTAGAAGTTGAAAGAAAATCTTGTTAAGTCAATTGGAGTTTAGAAATACTGTCTGTGTCACTTACTTCCTAATATATATATATATATATATATATATATATATATATATATATATGCATCCAATGATGTTTGGTAGGGATAATTCCAAGGAGGAATATGAATCTAAAGAGAGCTCAATGTAAAAACAGAGCAATATTATAATAAATAAAGAATCCTTAAAAATCCATTATGTGGTAATAATTTATTTAATGGGCTATTCCCCAATCAATCAATCTATCTATCTATCTATCTATCTATCTATCTATCTATCTATCGCAGTTTGTTCATATCCATCTTCCTATCTATATATCTATCTCAGTCTGTTCATATCTATCTATCTATCTATCTATTTACGTCCGTTCATATCTATTTATCAATGTTAATAATTGTATGTATGTATATCTATCTATCTATCTATCTATCTATCTATCTATCTATCTATCCCAGTCTGTTCATATCTATCTATCTATATATATATATATCTCATTCTGTTCATGTATATCTATCTATCTATCTATCTATCTATCTATCTATCTATCTCAGTCTGCTCATATCTCTCTGTTTATCTCATATATATATATAAAAATCCATTATGTGGCAATAATTTATTTCATGGGCTATTGTTCAATATATATATATATATATATATATATATATATATATATATATTACAATGAATCATTCATACAAAAAGTAGATTAGTAAAGTTAATGATATAAAATGGCGAAATCCCTTCGCTAATAAAATTTTAAAGGTGCATTAAACTACAAATCGTTCGTTATGATCCGTGTTTTTAAAAATTATAAGCTGTATAAGGAATTCCTTTAATATGCAAGTACTTTCAACTGTACCCTCACTCATCTTCAGTCATGGAAATTATTTTGTTTTTGGTAAAATTCAGGTAGCATTCCGAGACGAAAAAAAAATGTATATATATAGCCAATGACACATACCGAAATAGAGAGTGTGAAATGTATAGACTAATATATATATATATATATATATATAATTATTTTTAAAAAAATATGATTCCTTCGGTGCATAAGAGTTATCATGTTTCAAAATCAAGAGCCAAAAACCTCAATATAATTATTGAAATTAAATTGAATTAAAGTATCAAGCCCTATTTAATCCTCAGGCAAAATTTAGGAATAACCAATCTTGAAATTTACGCATCTTTATAAGCATGTTCATTCGTAAAATTAATTACTATGGAAACGACCATTTTGATAAGGGTCATACGAGTTACTTTGTATCAAGATATCAGTCACCTTCGGAAAGAGACCAAAGGAAAGAAAGAGGGTCGGGGTGTCCAAATGATGGCATTCATGTACGCAGATCGTCTGGTCAGTCACAGCGACAGATAGCTGTGTGACCATAATACGTCTTTAACTGTCGAGGGAATTTAATTTTATTTATTTATTCATTTATTTTTTAAAGGGATGTTTCCTACATAAACGCGCCATACTGAACTACAATTTGTTTTTTGACGACTTCATAATGGGTTTTTCTATCTTAAGATTGGGTTAAGGTTTTAAACCTTTTATTAGACTATGAAGTTTATTATGCTAATTATTTAATGCGAAAATTTGTTGATGACGTCAAAAAACCGTTAACTCGTGTCTATGGTTTAATAAATTTTCATTGTTTAGAAACTTAATAATGTGTAAAACCCCGGATTATATATCTAACGTTTTCTTTCCTATTTTTCTACATATTTGCACACACAGACACACACACACACACACACACACACACACACATATATATATATATATATATATATATATATATATATATATATATATATATTTCAGTCTGTGCCACTAGCTTTTTTTCTCTCTGCTTTCATATAGTTCTCTTTCTTTATCTCCCATTTTATCTCTCGATCTTTCTACCTGTGTGCTTCCTGTTTAACTTTCTTTGTGTGTTTGTATATTTTTTTTCTTTATAACTCTATGTCTCTGCTTCCTTCATTGTCTGTCTCTATCAGTCTCTCTCTCTCTTACTCTCTATTACCCTCTTTATTTCTCTCTCAGTTTGTTCATATCTATCTATCTATCTATCTATCTATCTATCTCAGTCTGTTCATACCTATCTATTTCTATATCTATCTATCTATCTCAGTCTGTTCATATCTATCTATCTATCTATCTATCTATCTATCTATCTCAGTCTGTTCATATCTATCTATTATCTATCTATCTATCTATCTATCTCAGTCTGTTCATATTCATCTATCTATCTCTATCTATCTCAGTTTTTCTTATCTATCAATCTATCTATCTATCTATCTATCTATCTCAGTCTGTTCATATTTATCTATTTATATATTATCTCAGTCTGTTCATATCAATCTATCTATCTCAGTTTTTTTGCCCTTATTTCTCTCTGTCTATATATATATAATATATATATATATATATATATAATCCTTCCTTTATATATATGCATATATATATATATATATATATATATTAACCCATTTACCTTTCTTTGTTTCTTTTCTGTCTATATATTTGTCACTGTTTTTTAAGTCTCTCTCTTTCTCCTTGATTCTCTATCTTCTCTCTCCGTCTCTCTCCCTCGATCTATCTATCTATCTATCTATCTATCTATCTATCTATCTATCTTAGTCTGTTCATATCTATCTATATCTATATATATATATATATATATATATATATATATATACAGAAACCTGGTGCACTACGTGCCACAAGGTTTCCAAACGACACCCCACAGGTTTTGAATTCAGATTTGTCTTTCTCCTAGACCAGTTGCCATCCAAGGCTATAGAACCCAGTCTGTCCTGCTATTTACCTATAGCTGGAGGGAGAAGAGGATTCACACCTTTCCCAAGGGTATATATATATATATATATATATATATATATATATTGAACAATAAAAAAATATTCAAAATTAAAATCTTCAGACACACTGAGTTGTAGATTAATATTCTTTCGTTGTTTTATTATTATTTCATATTTATATATATATATATATATATATATATATATATATATATATATATATATACTTCCCCTTTCTGTATTTCCTTGTCTGTTTTCTTTATGCGTCTATCTCTCCCCTTGCTTCTCTGTTTATCTATCTCTCACTCTCTCACTATCTATCTATCTATCTATCTATCTATCTATCTATCTATCTATCTATCTCCCTTCCTGTCTCTCTCACCCTGTCTATCTCATTTTGCCTCTGTCTGCTATCTATCTATCTATCTATCTATCTATCTATCTATCTATCTATCTATCTATCTCCCCTTCCTGTCTCTCTCACCCTATCTCATTTTGCATCTATCTATCTATCTATCTATCTATCTATCTATCTATCTATCTATCTATCTCTTTTTATTCTGTCTCTAACTTTGTCTTTTCTTTTCGATTCTTTTCTATTTTGAATTGCTTTTCCTTTTAAATGACATTTAACTAATTTACGTTTTCCTTCCCACTTTATAAATCCTTATCCTGTTCTGTTTGTTTCTAACCGCTTTACCCAGGGGAGATCAATACAAAGAGTTCGATTAAGTCTTATTTCCGATAAAAGCAAAGTTCCATCCCAATCGTGCCATCGATTGTCGAGTAATTTTAATTTAATTAAGTATAAATTCACAAACTGATATCAGTCAAAGGTAGATAACACTTGGTCTATTAATTTCTAATTACAGAGTTGTTTCCCCTTTGTTCAATAAGAAAAAAAACATAGGAATAAGCAGAGAAGAATTCTTGATTCTTAGTGATAATTAGCATTTGCGAATAACTACAATAGAAATTCTATTAAGAGGGGAAGGGTTGCCATCGAGTGGAGGCCGCCGTAGGTGATATTTAAGCGAGAATGAACAATGAAATTAAATCATCTGAGACATTCAGACAACAAAAGAACATGGCTACTTAAATATTAGCTTTCTTGATTGATTTATTTTTAATTTTATCACAACGTTTATTGAGGCGGTTGTTCACAAACATAGACTAAAATGAAGTGATTAAAAGAGATAACGATAGACGGTTGACTGATAAGAACAATGTCTCATCAAAGCATCCCCCTTTATCTGCTAGTCTAAGACGTATTCCAGAAACGATCAGCTGCCATCGAGTCTCATTAAAAGATATTTCCTGATAACTTTTACTAGTCTACAGGCCCAAGGCATCGTCCCCTGAGACACAAGATCTTGTAACATGAAATTCTAGTTTTATTCGAAGCTGTTCATAACAATTTAAGTAGCCTGGGGGCCCACGGCATCGTTACTTGGAAAACAAGATCCGAACATTTGGAGTTTTATTCGAACTTATATCATGGCAATTTTAATAGATTCAAATTCTAATGCGTCATTACCTGGAATAAAAAAAAAAAAACGAACATATGAATTTAGAGATTTATTCGAAATTATTTCTTGGCAATTTTACCAGACTTATAGTTTAAGGCATCGTTAACTAAAAAAAAAACAAGATCAGAATATTGGAGTTTTATTCGAACTTACTTCATGGCGATTTAAGTAGCCTCAAAGCCTAAGCCTGGAAAACAAGATCCGAATGTGATTTAGGATTTTTATTCCAAGCGCTTCTTTTAGAGAATTGATAAAGTAAACAAGCCAAAAAGAATTAATAATTAATTTTCCTTTTTTTTATAGTTTTTTCCTCGGATTATTTCTTTCTTCTTCGAAAGGAATTTACTTAAATCGTTATTCAAAGACGCGCCGATGACTGTCATTTTTTTCCTGACATATTTTTCATTTTTCCTCAGTCAAGATGAGCTCTGAATTTTATCAACGGAAACAAAGTATAAACTTGTTAATCTTTCTTTCGACTGACCAAAGAATACAATACTGCGAACTAACTCTGGAGGTGAGTTTCTTAACAATTTTAGTAGTTGTAAGTGTGTTTATATAGTTTTGTAGATCAACTTCTTTGGTTTGGTTGTTTTTGTTTAGCGACATATCAACACCGCTATGGGTTATTTAATGCTAAAATCTAAACATTTTGAACGGAGTTTTACGCCTTCAACTACAGATATTTTGTTCATGATTTTATAATTTCAAGTGTATGCTTTCTGATTATATAGATTCTAGATTATCCACTGTGAATCAGCACATCAAGTTAATTTTTTATGTTGCTGTTACAGTGTAAACATGACCGCTTCTCTAGCAGTTAGCACCACTTGAGGAACAACGAGCAGTGATCCGATATCTCTGGTCGGAGTTTGTGTCTGGGGATGAAATTCATAGAAGAATTTGGGCACAATACGAAATCTAAATATTTTGTACGCAATCATTTGTCTCATCATTTTGCAGTTGAAATGACAAGATATAACCGTAGGTTCTATGCTAACAGTTTCTTCGGTCGCACTTCTCGCATGTGGAAGTCTCATCCGGCTTCTAGCTTCCTCGTCAATTTTGATCTTCAAAAAGTTAAATGCAATGTCAGTCATTATCTTCTGTCTACTTAATTCTTGTTATTTTATTGCCATCTCTACTTAATGGTATATTTTTCTCATATTCTCTAACACTCGGTAACTCCTTACATCTTAGTGGTTTTATTACACTGGGTGTAATGGAATAAATTATTACTTCGGGTGAAATGATTAAAAAAATTCATCATCAGAACCCGTGCACAGCTGAATATTGCTTGAAACATGTTTTTATATAGTCATACTATCTCTGGTGCTCCTGCTATATATTTAGTGATTCTTTATAAAATCCAAAGAAGAATTTGCAATATTATTCGTCCTGACCTGACATCTCGGCTTCAGTTGCTTTCTCACCGCCGTAACGTAGCTTCCCTGTACCTTTTCTATGAACACTTCCATGGTAATTGTTCTCATGATCTTCCTTCTTTCGTTATTTTTATACCCCACTCCTCCAGACAAATTGTACATATGGGAACTAGATAGGATTACATAGAGACTCAGAGGTATTATGGTGACTGTAGTAAGAATGGTAAGTAAGAATGTGTTATTTTGGCGTAAGGAATACTGTGGCATGCTTGGCTCAGTAATCGTGACGAGCTAAGTTTAAGATAAGACAGATTGTAGGCCAACCTTCCTTAGTCCTCCTTTTGGCCTTGTGCCAGATTTTTTGTATTATTCAAAATAAATATTACTTTCCATTTTGGTACCTAGACTTTATAAATTTATCCGCAGTACTCTATTGGCGACAATTTTTCATCATTTTACAGTCGTCAAAATGGTTACATGTAACCGCAAGTTCTATGCTAACAGTTTCTTCTATCGTAATTCTTGCTTACGCATCTATCCTCCCGCTTCTTGCATCCCAGACAACTTTGATCTTCAAAAATTTAAATTCAATGCCAATCATTATCTTCTTAATTCTTCTTCTATTGTTCTCTCTCCTTAATAGATATTTATTCTCATATTCTCTAATACACTGTAACCCCTTCCGTCTTAGTGGCTTTATTGCCTTGCTTGGAGTGAGAGCTGTGGACAATATGGTCGCTATATTACGAACGTCTCATCCAGCAACCATTTCCTTATAATGTAACTTTATATTTCTCAGGGAAGATTACCGAGAAATTGGTTTTTATATACTTCTTTACCCAACTTTGCAACTTTTGAAGATCTAATTTTGAAGCTAATTTTAAGAGGGTTGTATCGTACATGAGATATAAAATTAACGCATGCACTGCTGGCTCTGGCTACACCACTGACCAAACTATATAACCATTTACTATAGTCAAATTAGCTTCAAAATTAGGCCTTCGGAGGTCGCATGATACACGAGTATACACGGTAACTAAAAAATACTTATGGATAATCAATGAAAGAAATGGTAAAAAATGGGGGATCAGTGTTGTATTGTTCTTTAATATTAAACACGTCCCCCATTTCTTGACCATAGTAGATTCATGGATAAAATTCCAAAACAACCTTATAGATAATCAACTGAAAGGATGATAGAAAGTGAGGGATCAGTTTTGTATTGTTCTTTAGTATTAAACTGATCCCCCATTTGTCGGTCACTGTATATACTATCTATTTCTATAATCTATACAGGATTTAAGTAACTTCCAAAAATATTCTTATAGGTTGGTTTGTTATATATACCGTATATACTCTTTTGAAGAGCTAATTTTGAAGTTAATTTTAAGAGGGTCGCATCATGCATGAAATATAAAAATTAGATTATGTACTGCTGGCTCTGGCTACGTCATTGAGCAAACGATACATCCATTTACTGTAGTCAAATTAGCTCCAAAATTAGTCCTTCAAAAGTTCGCATGATACGCGAGTATCTCCGGTAACTAAAATACTTATAGATAATCAAAGGAAGGAATGGTAAAAGTGGGGGATCAATTTTGTACTGTTCTTTAATGTTAAATACATCCCCCATTTTTTGGCCATAGATTCTTAGATGAAATTTCAAAACAATTTTACAGGTAATCAAATGAAATGATAATAGAAAGTAGGGGATCAGTTTTGTATTGTTCTTTAGTATTAAACTCATCCCCCATTTCTTGACCATTGTATATGGTATCAATTTCTATCATGTAGACAGGATTTTAGTAACTTCCAAAAAATATTCTTATAAATTGATTTGTCATATGTACAGTATATACTCGTGTACCATGCGACTTTTGAAGACCTAATTTTGAAGCTAATTTTAA